AAAAAAATAAAAAATACACATTGTTTTAAAAAATGCAAAATTTTGCAAAATTTCAAAAAAAAATTGCAATTTTTATTTTTTTGCAAAAACGGTATAGCCCATTGAAAAGTACGAAAAAAATCATTTAAGGAGGTTAAATTAAATTATTTAATAAAGAGATGAACAGAAGTTATGAATTTTTAAATAAAAAGCGATTTCACCAAAAAGTAATAAATCGATAAATTTCAATAATCAATAACTCTTGAATGAACAATCCTAGAGCAAAAAAAAATTATGCTATGATTCTTCATTATAAGAACAACAAATAAGTAAAGTTTAAACAAAATCGGTGACAAAATTTTTTTCACCTGGTACACTTGGTAAATTTTGCCCCATATACATGTACGCAAGTAAAAATAAAGTTAATTTTATATTTATTTAAATTTAGCCGGAGAATAATCAGAAGGATAACGCAAAGCAGGCTTACCCTTGACACAATAGCAACATAATACCCATAAATTGTTTTATACTGTAAACTTTTAAAAAGCAAGAGAGAGCGGGCTTTTGTAATGCAAATCAATGGCAGGCAATTCCGTGGATCGGGTTGGACCGTTGCCAAAAGTAAGGATTGCTGCTGCAATTTCGTCCTGCTCGTCCTAACAGTCGTCGGTCGTTTCTTTTCGACGAATAGATTTCCGACGCAACTCTTTACACTAATTAAACACGGCCTTTCTAGACTACGTAGCACGACGACGAAGACTCGAAACTAAAATTATACCGAACGACTTTTACTGCGGACGAAATTAATTGATGTCGCAGATTCGTTAAATTCAACGCCGACTTGAAATACTGGACAATTATCACGAATTTCAAGTTAAACAATGTCGTCTGCAGGGTGCCCAAGTTATTTTCAAGTGGCTCTTATAACACCCTTCACGAATATTAAAATTATCATTGCTATGACAAAAAACATTTTTAATAAAAACACACTATATAATTTTGTATAACGGACAATTTCACCAAAATTTACCATCCTGGTGATTTTAACTTTACATTGTTCAAAATTTCATGACCATTTTAACACCAAATTAACACCATATTTGGTCTATATCGATACAAACCAAAATGGTGTTAAATATGGTTCGTTGGTCCGGTGTAAATTCAAATACTAAAATGGTGTTAATTTAACTTTTACACAGTATTAAAATAAACTTTACCTGGTGTAAATTGAACTCCTTTTCAGTGTTAAATATTATGTGTTTGTGGTAAAATTAAATCATACTACACAGAAAAAAGAAAAAAAAAGGAAACAGGAAGTTCCTTGACGCATTACTAGTATATTACCAGTGGTATTATTCCAGAAAATGGAACCTTCAACTCGCTAGAGATAATGTTTTTAGTTCGTTCCACTAACTTAAAATACTTCAAGTATTGACAGCTGTTTCCACCTATTTAGGTCTAGTATCGAACAACTTGTAGTGTCACACCAAAGCTTGAGCTTATATATTCTTCATGTAAGTCAACAGAGGCGAGATTTAAGAACATCACGTGATCCACAAAAAAATAAATACTTATGGGTCAACTAAATTAATATAGTTAAATGAACTATTCCTTTTTTTCTGTGTAGGTGCACTTCTCAAATATTTTTAGATAAACACCGTTTTGGTGTTCATTTTCAACCATAATTCATGGTGTTATTTTAACACCACTTGGTGTTAGATTTTGACACCATTTTAGGATTACTCTTTACACCACAGATATTTTAAACAGTGTAAGTTAATAACCCATAACATCTGAAAAGGATAAAAATGATTTGGCCAAATTAAAAACGTTTTGTATTTTCTATTCTATTTATTATGAAAATATAATACAAAACTTACTATGTAGTTACAGTAATAATAATAATAATAATAATATATAATGTGGTCAAGTACTGGACTGCAAGTGTACAGGTTCTGCAAGCTACGCGCAGAGCAAAATTGAGGAAAGAAATGTTTTACAATTGTTTTTCCTCTAATTTGACTGAATCGCTAATCGACACTGGCGCTCGCTATTTTACGCTATTCGTTGAAATCGCAAAAATAAGTTAGAAACAAATATCCACGTCTTAGTGAAGAGAGTTTTTTTTAAATTTGTAAGAAATACTTTCATTTTATAAATCTCTTACAAAGAAGTGCTTCGTTTGTAAGCTATTTTTGCAAAATACAATACATATATTTAATTTAATTGTCTAAATTTGTCTACCTAGCACTATATAATAATACAGTATATGGTATTGCTTTGATTATTATATTTGTTTTAATATTAGAATTGTAAACTATTGCTTACGCTATATTGCTATATTATAGGCAGGCAGCTAAACTAGACGGTAGCGACGGTCAATAAGAAATTGGGTAATTGCTCAAATATTGACTTGATAATTTCTTTTAATTGGAATACGACCAAATGTATACTACGTCCCACATAAATTACTATAAACAAAAATACTCTAAATACATCAAACGCATTGGGATTAGCAATGAAAATAGGGTCGATATTTTTAATGGATGTGAAATAATTGACGTTGGTAATTGATCGCCGCCACCCCAACATTTCAACAGTATTTTGTTTCGATGTCTAGATCTTATATCTAAGTATTATTACTTATGTATTTGGGAACAAACACTCGAATTCAAAAGTTGCTAGCAGCTACATATTTATACATTAAAGAGAAAAATAGATCATATCCAAACTGTAAAACTACTCCATGTCTTAAAAATACGTTAATTTTAAATATTTACTTAGACCCTAAGAGACATGGATTAATTTCGAACAATTTAATTTTCTTCGCGTTTCTGACAACTGTCTGATTTCGAGCGAAGTGGTCCGCGTTCGTTATTCTAGATATTGCTATGGTTCCGGGGGTGAGTATGTTACTTACCCCCGTCTACTGTGCTTATTGCTTTTGAATACCCGGCTTCCGGGAGCCGACCGCCAAGTCCTGCGGGGACCCGTCGCTTATTGCGCCCCATTGGCCAATGCCACCCCTGAATTATTCATAATGTTCGTGTGCGTTCTCTTTGATAACTTATTCTTGTTTATTCAGTTTTTCCAGCGGAACGTACAAGAGATACACGTGAACTATTGACTGCAATTCTTTTTGATTTTTTTTCTTTTTTCGCTTAACAAATTCTTCGGTTTGAAATGTATGAGTCTAAAGTAGGCTTTCGTGTAGCTTTAATTATTCAACGCCAGCGCGTGCTGCGTTTATATTTTGAAATGCCTAATTGACTTTTGTCTTGTTTTATTGCTTTTGAAGAAGCTTCAGTATTTGTACTTTGCACACATCCACCTAAATTGATAAAATGTGTGATTCAAGGACTCCTATCCTTATAACAATTGTAGACATGATTTTATAACAAACACACATACTTATTGATTAAGTAGATACACAATTATTATTGCTTAGATTTTTATATTGCTATATGAATTACAAATATCCTAACCTTAAGTCTCGTTCTTTTCAAAACCCGATTTCACTCGGTGCGAATTCTCGGCGATCCTGGACTTAGTTGCTTCGGATTTCAGCACGACTCTGGATCTCTCCCGGACTTATTGCCAGCGAATACTTTTTATAAACTATATTTAGATTTCAAATAAATAACCCTAATATTAAACTTGCATATCACTCGCTATAATACACGTGCTTTCTACAAATTAATACAAGTCTGCCCAACTGACACAACAGCTTAACAATATCGATAAACAAATGTTTTTTTGTATTATTTTATAATAAGTCCCAACTTACTAATGTTTTAACATTTTTAGGATTTGATGGGCGACCAAATATTCAGTTCAAAAAACTTTACAACATCTGGCAAAACTGTATATTTTGGAATAGAACCTTGACACTTTGACACAGTTTTGGCAAAAGCAATATATAAATGTTTCAATTTTTTTGTAAAAAATTGATGAAATAAAAATTTGATGGCTTATCAAATTATAATAATTATTTTTGAGTACAGCTGTAATAAATTAACTGTATGTGACAGTTGGGTGCCAATTTATTGGCCCGGCACTACTTTTACATGGCTAATGACTAGATGCACACTCGCCTTGGCTCAGCGCACGGGCCTATTGCACTGGCCCATCTCATTTTCAAAATAATTTACACTACTTAATCAAATTTACTTAACTAGACACCAACATTAAAAAATCGAATATTAAAATGACTAAAATCAATGACTAGAATAATACATGTTTGGATGTTTAAAACATCATGTTTTTGATTTTAAAATATAGCTTTTAATTGTTGACTAGATATAAAATTCTTTGGTATTCGATTTAGTTTAGGATGGTGTCACATCATTCAGAACGTATTTAGCGACACATAAATGTCAATTCTAATAAATAAATATATTTATATATTTTTTTATATAATATATGCTTGCAAAAATACTGCCAAAACTATGCTCCGTTTTTTTTATATTTACTATAATACATTTAATTAGTAGTTTTCCTTTTTTTTTAAATATATACGACTCATAAGTATAAAGTTCTGAATAATTTAACCGAAATAAATATAATTGACTATACATGGGACTAGGAAGGGTTGGCTAGACTTTTAGAGACTTTTAAGTCTAAAAGATTAGCTTTTATCGTAATATTATTAACGGGAATGGGACTAGAACTGCGACTAGATGCGGCGGACCGCTTAAAATAATCTCACTTAATTCCACGCTTAATCTAAATATATAAATATATATATAATAAGTAATACTAGAATATTATTTGCATAACTTCGTTGTCTATGAAACGTTGTATTGTTCAGTTAGTACGGGAGAAAGAGAAATTTAGCGACGAATATTAATGAGGTCGGTAAAAACCTAGACACTTTCAAAAGCTTATCATCTAATTTTGGTTGGTATCCTTTGGTAAAGTTTTTAAACAAAATCTACTTCTTAAAACTATAATAGTCAGGGTAATATTGGCTGTATAATAGATAGGATGGAATCCTTTTCATTAATATAACGATTTTTTTAAACTTAAACAGTTCGTTGTTGAATGATTTGTAAAATCATTTGAAATACTATCTAAGTTAAATTTTAAAGCTTTGGATTGTTCTCTTAATTTCTGTTTTAGCCGTACAGTTTTTCGAACTTGAAAAGATGAAATAAAAGTAGTAATTTTAATCGAGAAGAATTATTCTAGGTGCATTTAAACATGATAGTTTGCCTATTTACATCCGTTGTGGTGATTGAAATTCAAATTATTATTTTTAAGAAAACTTCTTAGAAGATTTTAAATTTGTTCGTTGTATTATAGTTCATCTAAATTTAAAGGCGCGATACACCTTCAAATTAAGTTGTAAAATAAATAATTGCGTTTTATATCTTTAAGTTGTAGGTATTTATCGTTGATTTTGTCGGACGTGGTGTTCTAAAAGGTAGCTTAGATCTAACCCTAAATTAGTGGACGTGTTACGATGTGTTAACTTTTGTTTTTTTGGGAGGGATATTTACAAGGGGCTTCAGTTCGCAAAATAATAAATCATAAGTTATCTAGGGCGGTGAGGACGTGCCGCGTTTACGAACTACAAAAAAGACTAGAAGCTGACTAGATAGACTTAGTCGAACACTGAAATATTGCTTAACTGTGTTTTTTAATAACTGAAAAATATATAGGATTTAAAAACTAGGCCACAATTATAGCGAGATTTGATCTCTTAATACCTTTTCATGACTGTTTGATTGCGATAATATTGGCCTAGTCGGTAATGTTAATACTTTTTTAACCGGCGTACACCCGCACTGGCATGTTGTTCGATGCTGACACTTCTTCAAGGTTTTGTTCTACGAGTATCTCATCGTTGTACTCAACAGATGAGGGAGGTTCTTCCTTAAGACAAGCCGACTCCAGGTGTTTGTTCAGATACGATTTCAAAGCGAATGTCTTGTGACACCGATTGCATTCGAAGTTTTTATCTGCTGAATGAGTTTGCATGTGTGCTCTTAAGTTTGACCTATCAGCAAAGGCTTTGCCACAATGAGCACAACCGTAAGGCTTTTCACCTGTGTGAGATCTTAAGTGGCCCTGTAAAAGCCAAGGTCTGGAAAATTGCTTTCCACATACTCCACACCGGTGTGCCAGTTTGTGTGTGAGAACGTGCATTGCCAAAGCTGGCATGCTGACGTATGCTTTTCCACAGGTCATGCATTTCTTGGCAGCTTGGGAGTCCAGGCTTCTGTGCGTCTGCTTGTGCCTTGAGAGGTTGCTTGAGGTCGCGTATTGTTTGCCGCACTCGCTGCAGGTGTATTTTGGTTTATCGTTGCCTTGTACTTTGGGAACCACTGAGGGAACCATTTCTTCCACTGGCGATCTCTTTTTAGATCTGCCATCGCTTACGAAGAACGCTTCGTAGGTGTATGCCACTGTTTTCGTAGGCTTTATACTAGGCGAAAGTGGCATAGTTTGCTCTTGCACTGTCTCTTGTTGTACCTCTTGACTTTGGTGATGGTCTTCAAGATGTAATTGTTGATGTTGTGGTGGTTGATCCTGTGGTGGGGGAGGTGGTAGAAAAACCGTCGTCGAGGCACTCAAATCCAATATTGCATGCGCCGCATGTAAATCTTCTTCTGCAGGAACTCTGATCGTTGGTAATAGTAACGGTGGTTGAGGCTTATCCTCCAAAGAATACGGTCTATAAATATCCTTTTTCTTTGGGGGCAAACTTAAAGCGGTCCCTGTACTAGTGTATGTCATAGCCAGAGACTTTTTCGTTCTTATTGGTGCAGGTGACGGCGTGCTGTACTCGCTTCTTAGATCCTGCGTTTCGACGACGGTTCTTAACGTCGCGTACGACGGTTGCGTTTGACAGGAAACTTCGCTTTTTGGAATATAATTAGTAGTGTAAGTTGAAGAAGGAAGTTCATGTATATAGCCTGCAACAACAGAAAACAATGTAACATATATCCTGTTAAATTATAGTTTGTGTTTAAAAACCGAGCTTGCCTTAAGCCATTCTATATATCTCAAAAACTAATGGCCCATTTTTCTTAAAAAATAAACTGTTTTAATGTAGGGTATTACTGTGATAATAGACGTTGGTAATAGTAAACAAATATACCTGATGGCATGCAACAGTTTAATTAAAAACAAGCTTAAAAAGGGGGTGAACTCGGGACCGTAAAAGATATTGTCCTTTAAGAGCGCAAGGATATGCAGAGAGAAACAACAGCTGGTTGGGCCGAAGGCGCCCCACCACGGAGGCCCCTCTTTAATTAAATCGGATAGATCACGACAGCTGGCGCGAGAACACCGGTGGATGGTTTGGCCCATTAAAAGTCACCATCATCAACGCAACTTTATGAAAAAAAGTTAAGGGTAAGCGACAGGCTGTCCTGTTTATGTATTCAGTGTCGACGACGTACGCGTCGGTTTTAATGCCGTCAAATGTTTACGAAACAATTACATCGCGCCCAAAAATATATTATGTTTGGAGCAAGTTTAATAATACAGTTTAAGAGGTATTCATTTATTTTTATTAAAAATTAAATCTATTTAGGTTTAATGTTCTTAACTTCAAATAGCAAGAAGCGTAATATTTTATTACGGCAATTAAAGAAGCCAATTTTGTTAAAGTATTACAGATATTGTTCTAAGAGTTTGTTGATTGTTTGTCGAAGAAAAAAGTTAATTTACTTAAAAATTTTGGCCAATTAATGTTTTACTAGTAAAGAATATATTATTTTTTTTTTTAATTATCAATTTAAAAAGTATTGATTATTATAATATATAATATTTATTAATAATTACACAATGTAACAAAAAATCGAGACATTTATTTTTATCTTTAAATTATCACTGTTTATGATCAATTGGGTTTAAATGACCACATGTATATCAATAGTTGATCTAAATTGATAGTTTTAGCTACAGGATGTCAATATCTATTTAATTAAAACATTATAGACCAGGCAGAAAAAGCACATATTATCGCCGATTATACATTTCACGAGGCGACAGCCGAGGCAGTAGATTGTTTGCGAGGCAAGTTTTGCCACCTTGTTTTAAATAAGTACTATTTTTTATTATTCTTATTGTTATCATATAAAAATTGTGGTACGCTTGAAAAAAATATAGTACAGGCCGAGAAAGCCTGTGCCAGGAAATTAATAAGCTTTCGGTCCGTTTTTTTTGTTTTTTTTTCAGGTTTTTTTTTCATTGTTTTTTTCAAATGGTTTTTTTCACATTTTAGGTTTTTTTTCAAGATTAGTCCCATTTGCCTAATTTTTTAGGTTTCATGGACTAAAATGACAATTAGTAAATGTAAATACAGTCTCGCGCTATGCACGCGCCACCACCACCGAATTGACCAATAAGGCCGCGCTTGTTATGATTTGGTCCTAAAAAAGTACCTATATAACAACATATAATATTTTTGATTCAGCGCTTGATTTTTTAAAAAACTACCAAAAGCACTTTTTTCATGATTTTTCAAATTCATGTAGAGTATGGAATTTTTTTTTCAAAAAAAACAATAGCAAATTCTTGTAGAACATTTATTCATTGGTGGTTAAGTCAGAACATTCCGTGGACCAGAAAGCCAAAAAAAATCGATTTTTTTTATTACGGTATTTGTTAGGATTGAGCGTTGCACATTTTTCATCTAAAAATCTCAAAACTAGAAACTTCAAGCTTCAAATTGCTTTTTTGACGGCTCCAATACGACTATTTTCAACAAAGTACAGCTATCCGAAGAATTTCAAAACAATTTTTTTTATCCTTTAATTTTTTGTATTGGTGTAGAAGTTTTACATTGCTAATGGTTTCTAATGTGGAAACTACCAAATAATAAGAAATCAGATTTTTTAGTCTCGATCAAAATTTTCAATAATGAAAAATTTAATATATTCTACATTTCATTTTATTATTAATATATATTTTACTCAAAATTTCATTTTGAAAAAAAACCGTTTTTTTTCTAGTTTTTTTTTCATGTTTCTTTCACATCTCACATCTTTAAATATGACAATTATTATACGCTTGGAAAATATACCTACTTTTATACCCACAAAAAATCATTTATGTTTTGGTGTAAAGTGTGTAGGTGTGGTATAGGGTGTAGGTTTGTCAAAATGTTGACATTTTAGCAAAACAAATGATCATACGAATGACGTTAACATAAACATTTTTTTGTTACATAGTGTATTTTTTAAACTTTTTAAACCAATTTATTTGTCAGTTCAATTATTTTATATAAAAAAATATATACGTATCGTATTATTTTTCTTGTATTATTTTCTTATATTTTAATTAAAATAAATAATAATTTTAAATTGATAAAAATAGTGGCTTTTTACTAATCCGCACAACAGGTAGGTAGATTATAAAACTTACCATTGTAGAGTATAGTAGTCCCGTGCGGAGATGTTGGCGGCGGGCTGGGAGCCGTGGCGCCCGCCGTGGGGCTCGACGGTGCCCAGCAGGAGTTGGTCGAGTCCCCGACGACGTCAATCTCCTCGTCCTCGTCGTCGTGCGGTTCGGCTGCAGGCCGCTCCGGCCACGGATACGCTTTCCACTTCTTGGCCATTAGGCAGCGCGGCATCGCGACCCCTTCGAGTCCACCTACAGAAGACTTTGATGTTTTTCACTCAACGATGGACACTGGCCGCGCACCACAATACACATCTCGTTCGCCTCGAAGACGGAAAAACGAAAGACAGAGATACAGAGGGAGAGAAGACAGTAGTGAAGAGCACAACACAACAAACTAAACTAAACCGACCCCTCGTGGTTTTTGAAGCGCTCAACTAACCCTCCGTCGCTTTTATATTTAGAGCGCGGCAGTAGTGGTGGGAGCGCGCACATTGGGGCTGATTTCGTCGCACCCCTCTCCTCCCTCAGCCATCAGCCCCACCATCCACACACCGGATTCAACGCGCTATGACGCCGGGAGGGTTGTCGCTTCTCTTCGAGGGTGCAACACGTGATTCTTACGCTCACTCGCTCGCTAGCCACCAAAGGAATGCACATCGTTTCGGGATCGCGGTCACCTTTTACATTTACTACCCCTCTTTGAAACTACTTTCAAAAGGTCCACATCTAAAATACGCACATTTTTATAAATTTTTTAAACTCACCAAAAACGACCTATACAACCAAAATAAAAAAATCTCTTTTTGAAATAAAAATGTTTAGTATTATAATTATACTTATAAAGCAAAAGAAACATACAACGTGTAAACCCTTAAAAATCCTTGCTCCCCTCTTGCAATCAAACAAGTTGCAATGTATCACACAACCGTGAGTTGCACCCCGCCGCCTAAAGGGTTGTCTGTCGCGCATCTCGACTGCGTCTTTCACCCCCTCGCGCCGTCCGTTCTCCGTTCTCCCTTCAAATAGGGTGTCCGTCGTCAGTCTGCGCTCCAACACGTGGCCTGGCGTCAAACCACGCGTGCCGCGGCGTATAGCACGGAGGGGCAACAGGGGGGCCCCACGTGCTACCTGGGCCCCGCGCGACCACCTGATAGCTTCGCAGCTGCTTAGGAAACGGCACTTCCACATTCGCATGTACCGTATACCTCTCTGCCTACTTACCCGATGTATCGAATCAAAGGTTTTGGGTTTCTGCTTCCGCTAGGTGTGATTCACCTCAGACAAAGTCCCATTCGATACGTATTGAATATCGATAGTTCAAAGCAAGCAACAGTATTTATAAATATTTTATATTGTAAGAATAGCAAAATTATTATAATATTGTTACATATCTAATAGATATTATCTATCCCTCGGGGTAAAATGTAATAACCCATACAGCTGATAATCAAGGACCGGATTTGCCTTTTTGTTTCTATTTTAGGCATTTGTTTGGGACCTTCAAATTAGTCCTTAACTTAAAAAAATAAAGCGTTTGACACCCCTTTGTTTTTGCCTAAAAGCCTAAAATGGCGAAATTTTGATTTATTATCCTAAAAGGACATTTTTATGAGCCTAAAATAAGCTCTTTTAATTTTTCAGTAAAACAATATTTTTATTGCGCAAAAGTGAATTATTTTTAATTGGAACCTGCTTTCATGCTCTTATTTCGCGTAGATGCCCTTGGCGAGTACAAGGACCACAAATTACAAAACTACACTGAGAGAAATGATATTATAAGAACTTTTGCTAAACCAAAAATTATAACACTTATTAAAAATCTCATAACACTAAGAAACAATAATAGCATATTTCCTAAACTAGGTTATAATGAATATAATATTAGATTTATTAATACGAGAATATACACCTAATAATTCTGCATAACTATGACAAAAATGCGCATTTCTGCTGGTATAAGAAATTGTATCCAAATAAAATAGCTTATAACTACTATAAGATCAGTTACTGTTGTTATTAGAAATACTAATATTATACCAGCGTACGTGACGACCAACAACATTCGTTATTTTTCTCTTGGATGTGTTTGTACTGTGCAGTGTCATTTCTTATTTTCTATTGCCATACCTGCATAAAAAGTTTAAATCTATGTAAAAGTGCTGAATTTTATTTGTTACTGTTTTTGTTTAATTGGCCTATCTTTGGTTTATTGTAAAAGCAAGTGAGTGCATATTTTACAGACAGCGTTTTTCCGAAGTTTGATGATGATATGGAAAGTTTAAGTAGAAGTGTAACCATGGTGCACCATTAGTGATTAAAATTAACGTTTTACGTGCAAAACGAGTAAGTCTTAAAAGCACAAATTATAAAATAAATGATATAATTTATGTTGATTTAGACGAAATACCTGTGCTTGGAGTTATATGTTTTCGATGCCAATAGTAAAAATATTTTATTATGTTTGTTTACCTTGTTTTTAGGCTATAGTTTAGTAGGTTTAACCCAAGGTTAGTAGATTAGACAGGTTGCATGGTAACTTTCTGGCACCAGCCATTCAACGCGCAAAATGACGTCACTGGGGGGTGCCCATTTAAATAAATAGCATTTAATGTAGTAAAGCAGAATGGCCCACCCGATGACGCGTTGCCCAAGCAGTTACCATGCAGCCTGTAACCATATGCATGTAACAGGTTACCTGTTTAATCTACTAACCTTTGGTTTAACCTATACATTTTTGTAATAGATAGTTACCTAAATTTATCTTGTATAGTTTTTTTAATGAAATAAACAAAACTTGTATATAGAACATTTTATTTCTACAGCAGTATGTTTTATATATAATACGTTATAATACGTTATACATATATATAAAATAAAACCAATGTTATAAACCTTATAACACCTTCTAATATGCATTATAAGATATTATAAACTATATTGGGCGTATTATTAATGCCATTAGAAATATGTTATAAACCTTATAACACCTTCTATTACTTCTTATTAGAATGTAACAATATATTAGAAGTGTTATCAATCTCATTATAAACAAGTTATAAACCTTATAACATAATCTAATACTCATTATAAAAATGAGTCATAAACAATAATAGAAATTTTCTAAAACATAAAAGAATATTAGCATCTTAAATTATAATTACCATGAGGAAATATATTTTAAACGTTATAAAATCGTCTTACTAATCTTCAGATGATAACAGTAATAAATCGATTTATTGTCCAAATAGGTATAGAGATTTATTATATCCATTATTAAAAAAAATTATATTTCTTATAATATTTTTCTCTCAGTGTAGTGAAAACCTAATAAAAAAGTAATTGTGTTTTTGCTATCTAAATAATTATTATAAATAATTAAGGATAATATTAAGATTGTAAAATATTTTATTTACTTTGTTTTCATATATTTTTCTGTAATTTCCATATATTTATTACGTATATCACGGTGCTGTTCTGAGAGGTGATTTTTGGACTTTCTGTGAAACCTAATTTTTTTTATATTCTTGTTAATTAGGTCATAACTAAAATTTTAAGAGCAAAATAAAAAAAATTTGACGGTTTGAATTGTTTTAATTGGATGTTTATTAAAAATATGTATGCGCACTTTCAATTCTCCAATTAAAACTTGCGATTTTATTTAAATATTATCATAACTTTTAAATCAGAATAAAGATTAGTTAATTTCCTAAAAAAAGGTCCATAAATTTTTTATATCTTTTACTGTTTTGTTGTAATACACGTTTATTAAACAATAATTCTAAGGGTGCCACATTTTATTTAGGGCCGATTTATTCATTTTTGATTTATTTGACGAATAATTTCTTTGGATACTAGATATTGCCATGAAAGTTATCGGCCCGATAAACTTTACTAAAGATGAATAAACCGGTCCTTACTTAAATTTCATGAATTTCTTCGTAACTTTTACTACAATTTTTAATTTTTGTTTATAAAAATCACTTTAAAAAACTAAACAAAAATTATAGAATACGTATACTGAAAATGACAATTCAAACGTCAAATAAATTTTTAATAGATCTAAGTTTTATGGCAACCTTTAAGGATATATTAATTAAGGGAACATAAATGTATACGTCAAATGTTAGTTTAAAAGTTTGAACGTTTATTGCAACAAAACAGTAAAATATATAAAAAAAATTGTAAAAACCTTTTTTTTAGTTATACAAATATTAAATATTTAAATTAAATCGCTAGTTTTAATTGGATAATTGAAAGAGTGCATAATATTTTTAATAAACAGCCAATTAAAACAATTCAAACCGTCAAATTTTTTTTATTTTGCTCTTAAAATTTTAGTTATGACCTAATTAACAAGAATATAAAAAAATAGGTTTCACAGAAAGTCCAAAAATCACCTCTCAGAACAGCACCGTGATATGGTAATTTCAGACTTTTTAACAGTTTTTAATAATATAATTTGTTGCCATATAAATACGGTCTTTCACAGCATATTTTTTATTTACTTTAAAAAAATTTCCCTATAAAAGTTTTTTTGAGCGTTTTTTATTATTAAATAAAAGGGCTTTAAGGATATTTTCTCGACTACCTATTTCCCTCGTCGTCTTAATTTTCACCAATCACAAACGCGCAATTTTGAATTAAAAATGGTTTCTAGGTGGAAAAACTGTGTGACAGCACCTGTCAGCAGTTTTTTCGAGTTTACCCGCTGCAAAACTTGACAGCTGTTGTCACCAAAAATTGCAATTTATATTTGAATTGTTAACTGTTACTCATGAAATAGTCTTGTCAAATACCATTCTGGCATCTAATTTTTCCTGTGAAAAAAACGAAAAAACACAATGCTAAGTAATATTTTTAACAAAATACCTTTTCGGATAAATTAGATGATATTATGATATTATGATATTACTTACGAAAAAACCCCTGAACACGTAAACTGAGATATACGTTAAAGTATTTTTATCCAAAATTTTATAAAGATTGGTAAAGACATTTTAGAGTTGGATTTTTTTCACTTGTTATTCGTTAATTTTTAAACGCAGTGTATATATATATATATATATATATATATATATATATACAGGCTAATTGACAAAATATTTTCTTTAAATTTTACAAGTAAGGTTTTCCTTTTTTTATTCATACGGGCAATTGTTTGCAAGAGTTTGTGTTATTATTTGTATGTATTTTATATTAAGAGATATTTTTTGTTTTATTTTTATTGATAGGACCTGAATAAATGTTATGTTTAATCGTGTTGTTTTTATTTCATATCGCCTATTTTAGGGGGGTTGAGGCCTATTCTAGGCACTTTCGGCCTAAAACGGTCCAAAATATAGTTTTTTATTGCCTATTTATGTGTCCTAATTTCCTATTTTTAATGGCCTAAAACCCGGTCTTTGCTGA